ATTTTCATGAAATTTGCAGGAACAATGTGTTTTTATCTGAAGTTATTTAATCCAAGAGATTTTTTTGGAAATTCCTTTTTGGTGCTAAGTTACGGACAATTTTCTGATTTTAAAATGACATTTTGTTCGCGAATAATCTCAAGAACGGTAAAAGATATCACTGTGAAACTTTCAGGGATTATAGATCGTGATAAGAACTATCCAAGACGCGATCTTTTGTACGTCGTCTCTACTTCCTGTCGTAACGGCATGCAAAGAAAAAAAAGTCGAATTTTTCAACTTTTTTGTTTTCCAATATTTTAAAATTATATTAGTATGGCTGATAGAAACATATCTCATTAGGCTGAATATGTAATTTGTTTGTAAATTGATAAATTCAAACTCGAGATATTAACATTCAAAAATATGAAGCGGGATCAAAATGGCGGCGGTCTTTGTCAATTCCGACATTTCGCAATAGGGGTTTACAGAGGCAGCCAAGCGTTTGCTTGAACGAAAGTTACATAAGGAACAATGAAATTTGTAAGGATACTTGGATTGTCACGTCGTAGGTTCGTTGCAATTCTGCGCCAAACTTCATTTATAATCCAAGGTCTCCTTACAAGTCTTCTTTAATTGGTTTTGGTTGGTTCTCAAAGTAGAAATAGAAAAGAATTAATGTGCAAATTGAGTACAATATCTACTATCTTTTGTTTTGCATCACGGAAACACATAACTTAAATCATAGTTATAATTAATAGTTTTTCAAGAAACAATATATATAGTAAGTACGAAACGTGACAACTGGTTTCCCATGCACACTTGTGTCATATTAAACTAATAGAAAGGACAACTGTTACAATAAGAAAACATTTTTTTTAAAGATAACTATTTTTCAGAGACCGTTTAATTAACCTCTATAATTTTTTTTTCTCAATGCAAGTTATTGAACATAATGGAATCTTATTCCTTGACCCACGTAGGACGATCGAGGAATTTTTTCGGTGAAACATACCACCTTTTTCATGAAAGTGTAGGTAATCGGAATGGTCCACTTTCGTGATTAAGAAGAATTCTTGTGCCTTTTGATATTTTTATCCTATTAATGTTATTATCCCAACACAGGTCGTATACAACGAGATATTGGACGGAAGACCTACTCGTTGCTCGCAACGAGATCGCATCTAGTTGATTTACTATTTCGTTAGGATTTACTATTTCGTTAGGACGATTAACACCCATTCATGGTGATCGAGAGTGTATTCACAATGAATCTAATTCACACAGGAAAATTGATTGATAATTTAAAGCATTTATCATTTTAAAGAAAGAATCCTTAGATGACCTGTATTCATTGAGATATGGCAATCAACGTAATTTACTATACTTAGACATTTTAAAAAAATATATATATAAGAATATATACAGTTTCTAGCATGCTCCTAGCTGCAAAACTGTAGCTCTCTGCTTGAGAAAATTCGGGTACATAAAGATCTCTGTTTTATCTGTCCGAATTTTCTCAAACAGAAAGCTACAGTTCTGCAGCTAGCATGTTCCTTGGAAACAAATTATCATTTCATGTTACTTAAAAGTAAAAACTGTACTTGGTACAATATCCAATTTTCAAATCACTGAAATGAGATAAATTCCTTTTTCCTTAACTTATTGAAAACTCGTTTTTACATCTTCCATCCGAAATTTGTCATCAGTTCTTATGAAGTCTGTGTTTGTAGTTGATTGTGATTTTGAAAAGGACATGTGTGGGTGGACCATTGGGAGAAACTTTTCGTCCCCTGCGGGCAGTAATCAGTTTTGGGCCCTGTGTCCACGTCTTCCAACCTCAAACGACGTTAAAGACACGTGCGCAGGAAACCTGGGATTCAAGTTCGCGGATCCCTTTTCTCGACATAATATATGTGATAGTAAAAAGCCAGGTAAGTTTGTAGCAACATTTCAGACTTTCCCAAATCAAGTAAAATTTCAAAAAGAGTTTCAAATAAAAGTGACGGATCAATATATTTTTTTCAGAACAATTATTAAAAATATTTCAAATATTGTGAATTGATCTTTTTAGGTTCTCCGTGCCGTAATTTCGTCCTTAGCTCCAGCAACAAAGGGGTAGAGCCTCCTTTTAATGGCCAGTACAGTACCTTCTATACCTCCAACATCTTGAGCGAGGAGCTGCCGGGATTCTTTCTGTACAGGTGCCTCCATTACACCTTTTCCTTAAAAGGTCAGTCTGTTCTTATGGTGTCTTATTTACCCACCATAACAGAAACCAAGACTGACTTCATCTTAAAGGAACACAGAGGACACTGGTTGACTGATCGTTCAGATGAGTGGATCAGCGCTAACAGTTTTGTGAATCTCCCTCTTATTCCAAATTTTAGGGTAAGTTTAAATACAAATGGATAAAGCTATCAAAACAAATCATTATTTCTTTATTTTGATGATAAAACCCAACTTTCCAGGTGGGCTTCATATCTGTGAATGTACCCAGATAAACTTAATTAAAACTTGCAAACTTTAACAGTTTTGCATTCATCAAAAAATATATTAATTTTCCTTAAATTTCAAGCATGTTTTGGAATTAAGCTTACGTGCAACAAAGCATTTCGATACCTACACAGAGTATATCAAGTCAGTGATGAATTCCATCGACAAGCTTATTTTTTTGAAAAGTGAATGTGACTATTTTTGTACTAAACTCATTAAGTAAAAGATATTTTGTAAAGAAACAAGTGTAACCAATCTTATATTTTCACCATATTGTCTGGCAAATATGTCATTTTGGATATTTTGATAACGACTGATATTCAAGCTCAAACGTTCATATAACAATACAAAATTGGAGCAGAGCAAACACGGACCACCAAGACATCAGAGGTGAGATCGGATGTCTTGGAGTAGTGAGTTATATATATTTGCATATTATAAAACAGAAATTCTTATTTTTGCTAAAAATAACTTCTAAAGTTAAAACCAAAAAGAGAAATGTTAACAGGCTGAAAAATCGTTCTCTGGTTAAACATTTTTCTCTAGTGTTTATATTCTTTTTATTGTTTAAATATTGAAGAGAAAAGGGCTTTCTTTCTTTAAGTACTTAAAAAAATGAACAAAATGAATGGTTTAAACATTCGATGTTTCAAATACCTTGCAAAAGATATTGATTGATGACTTAGGAAAATGAGAAATCAAAGTCAACGCTACGAATGATTTATTCTATCAATTACATTACAGTTTAATAAAATAATTTGTATTGTCGGTCTTTATTTCAGTCACTTGGGCATTATAAATCCAAAACTGTGTGATTTTCTTTTAAAAACAACCTATCATTAAAAAGCTTTTTGACTGAAATATTTCGTTCCAACTCCGTTGCAGGTGATGAAGGTATATTGCTGCATAAATAAGGGAACTTGACAATTGAAAAGTTAAAGTCCACGTTTATCATAGAGCTTGGTTGTTAGAATACCAATAACGTCTTTTTCAAGTAAAATATCCAAATACGAAACAGATATGCGAGACTGTCTATCTTTTTATCTTAAGCTCATCGGAATATATCGAATTGACATAAGAATGGAAATAAACAAGGTTAATTGACAATACGTCGTCTAAATATCTAAATGTTGAATTGAAGGTCACAGCAAATTTTTAGATTTTTGACAAATTCTTTTCTGCTTCACAAGAATAAAAAAAATAATATTGCTAATAATTGGACGAGTTTCAATTTTATTGAAAAAGCAGCTGTCAATAGATATCAAAAAGTCTGGACTTTAATTTGTCGTGGGGAATGGTTGCGTATAAAGTTGAAATGTCGTAAGTTTTTAACCCTTTCTCTTCCGGCGCATTTTATGTGTTTTTGGAGGCCTTTTGACATGGCATTATTAAATTATTTTTACTTTTTTATCCTAGGTGAAAGCTAGGCATAATGCATACCATTTTGAAGGGAATTTCATAGAGATGATATTTTATGACTATTTAGATGCTCAACCACTGACCTTATTAGTAAAAATTGAGGTCAAAGGTCAATTAAGTGCAAAATTTTATGGAATTTTTTGATACTTTTTAATCTTCAAGCTAAATATTAAGTATTGTGTATGTTGAAATAGGAAATTTGGGATATACCCACAAAAGAGCATTATACTGTAGTACATGAAACACATAAACTTTTTTTTCAATTCTGCATATAACTACTTAAAAGGGGTTGCTAAGCAACGCAGAATTCTTTAATTTTCAGGCAGAAATTTTCATTTTTTACTCAATCTAGATACATTTATGCATCCCAGCACATATAAAAGTTAGATGTGAGGTCATAAAATTACAACGGACATACAACAGATAAATTGTCTTAAAGTTTGACCTTATTAGAACTTTTTTAGGAGGTCAAAGGTCAAATAAGTGCAAAAGTTTTATCAATTTTTTTCAACACTTTTCAATATTCTTGCCATAATTTTACACAATGGATGCTAAAATGGAAAATTCTGAATATACTCTCAAGAAGGGATCAGAACTGCAATATCCATGCATCATTTTAGTTCAAATATCTGTTTAATGACCTTTAAGTGGTTGCTAAGCAACAACATTTTAAAGGCTTTGGCTATATAAATGTTTGTTATTTCACTTTTTGTATATTTCATGATATTGTTTGTAAGATATATATGGGCCATAAAGATGAAAGAACATTTTTGTATTAAAAATTGACCTTGACACTCTTGTTCTTCAGGGGGTCAAGGTCATATCAGTACAGAATTCTGCTTTAAACTGTAAGTAAATATCAATTTTGAAATGCTACATACATGGATAAATCATCTAATAGTTGACGTAATAAAAATGGCGAACGACAATTTGCAAGCAAAGAATTATGGTCTGCTTCTTACAAACCCCTAGCAAAACACGTATACAATCTTTTTGTTAAACAAGAAATCCATTCTCTTGATGCCATTAAAAATAATCTTTATTTTCATGGATTTAATCTAACAAGAAAAAAAAACTAAATGATTTCATAACAAGATTTTCCTGGTATAACAGAGCTTAAGGGGTACAATAAAGACTTGACATGTTATCTTGGAGGGAAATAATAATAATAAATAGCATTGGCAATATTTAGCCCAAAACTGTTTAGTCAATAAGTTGAAATTTTGACACTTATATCCAAATATACAAATCCAGATATACTGAAAGATGAATTCCAAATCAGACTGAAATCTTCAACAAAATGTTGAAGAGCACTTTTACTTTGTGTCCACCATTCTTTTATCAACTGTTACTTCTCTGTAAGACTGGAGGAAATTCTTTGACTTGTCCAAGACATTATAATTTGCTTTCAAGTTCAAGTGATCAGCTTCTATCCTGTAAAAGATTTAAATATTTTGAAACAGATACATGTCATTGTGTATATGAATTTACATTTATAAATAAAATTAAGAATGCTAAAATTACTACATTTATTTGATTTTCTTTTTAAAATTAAGTTTGCATCTATTGTGTGATTCAAGTAGTTAAATGATATTGTTAAGTCAATGTATCAGCACTGATAATTCAACAACCTTGTAGTAAACCATTATGGTAAAATTACTGAACTAAAACAAATAGCATATGGCAATCTGACTAAAGCCAGACCTCTGTTTACGCTATCGCAACATATAAAAAAATCTGGCAGTGGATGGAAGATCTAATTTTAATTAGATTGCTACGAAAGCCATGAAGGGACACAGCAATTTTTCAAAAAATTAAAAAATGAGATCTCAAATTAGACAATCCAATTCCACGGATACTAAATCATTCCCTCGATTTATAATTCGAGATCTCGAATTACACAATCCGATCTTACAGATTACTAATTCGCCCCCTTGATTCATAATTTGAGATCTCAAATTACATACTGGTAATTCGTAATTGGTTTTCACAGATTAATAATTCGAGATTTGTTACAACGTCAGTCCTATGATTTTGGCAAGCTGTGCTCTTGAATTTTATTACATACATGTACAGATACATCCAGCCATTTTAATCAATTAGTGCGTTCACTTCTTTTTATTTTGTTTCAGCAACCGGTCATTTCTAACCTCTTTCATAACTAATTCAACGTATATTTATTTTAGAAATATTATGATTACACAGGACCCATATTCACTTTACAATATCGGACTTTCAATTATCTTAATATACACGTAACACAAAAACCTCTAAGATTTTTTGTTGTACAAATATCAGTACTAGCATATGGATTTGAAAATGTTCATGTATTTTTCTCATTTAGGACCGTAATATGTAATAAAAGGTTGGATGTAAAATACTACAATATTCTATTGTTTAAACATGTATTACCATATCTGATATGTACAGATAAATAATTTTAATGAAATCATGGGAAGGGTTTACATTCCGAGGGAACGTATCATTTAAACTAAGAGAATGAATTATACAATCTGAGATAATGGATTGTGTGATTTGAGGGGAGATAATCTGTGAGAATATGAATTGGCAATTTGTTATAACAGATTGTCAATCCGAGAGAATGGATTGTGTAAATCGAGAACTCGGTTTACTTTTATAAATTTTTAAAAATTCTATGTCCCTTCATGGCTTTCATAGATTGCATACCTGCATGGCTGCCAGGGTTGTAAAAAGAAGGGAGACAATAGACTGCAATGTTACTTCAGGGCAAAATTCCTGGGGCAAGGCTGTTCGTGAGCATGGGAGTGTTGATAAACCATCCAGTGAGTTTGACCACCCATATATATGATGTACGATATTGGAAAGTGTCTGAAAAAATGAGAAAATGGAAATTCTAACCACAAACTTTATGCAGATTGGAAATACAACAGCAGTCTATAAAAACAGCTTGTTTCATATCTCGGCATTCATTCAAATAGATATTACGTGTTAAATAATGTGTTTGTATGAATAATCAAGCATCATAAGTATTATGTGTTTCAAACACTTATTTTTCAAAATATAAATCAAATGTTTATAAACTTGTATGAATGCTATATCATGAGAATGACACAAATGAAATTTGACTTTATTTTTTGAAATTTTAGAAATACAGAAATTTTCAACAACAAAACAAAAATTTACCTGTTCATTGGTGTCCTTACATATTAATTGGCATTCGTAGTTCATGGTGGGCTTAGCAAGTGGGTATTCACAGATGAAAGTATTGTTGTATATGGTGCCAGCACCCTAAATATTCAAAGTGAAAGTGGTATAAGTACACACTGGTACACACATACTGAAAACAACTATCTATTTATGGGAACTTTGATTTTACTTTGAACTTACGAGTGTTTGTCAAAAGCATCAAAGTTCAAAAGCAACACAAAATTGGCTGAACAATACGAAATACGCACACTGAAATATGAAGGTCTAGTACATGTACATGTCTACATTTAGTTTTCTTTTGAACGTGAACTAATTGCGTTTTAAACTTAAGCTATTCAGTCAATATACACGTATTCTCACCTGCTAATACCAAAGGATGTCCGTATTATTTGATTCATTGATGTGATGATCTTCGTCGTGAAATAATCATGAAAATTGACGTTCAGATTTCGGATCACCATCATGTTGTTTGTATACTGCTACCATAGCGGAAACACGTGGTTATTTCAATTCGTATCAACTCATACAGTGATGAGTCGTATTTATTCATAAATGCGAATTCTTGTATTGTTAAATTTCGTGCCAATATAGATCTAATTAATTTGCAAATTAAGTATACAATATAACAAGATACAACTATATTAAAATCTGATTTTTTTTTTGTTAGTAAAGATCGACATTTAGGGAATCTACAATTTTTCTCAACATTGTACATCACTACATGAAATTTTCATCATTACATGTGGATGAATAAATTGACATTTCATTTCACACAAAAGGCAGAACGATATTATATATTTTTTTTAAATGTATTTTTGTATTATGCATTTATTTCAGCAAAAAATATTTATTTAAATGGTCAAAAAAGTCTTATAAAAGAATTTGTTGTTTCGAGTAAGACGCAACAATATCGACCTTGACGTTACATGGTAAATATTGACCGATTTTTCCATAAAAACTATGCGAAGGTCACAAATTCAAATTATCGTAATTAAGAAAATACTGAGCGTAAGAAGGCCTGTAAGGGCTTGTTGGAAAGGAAATTTTCTCCACTTTTACCAGCTTTATTTTGTTTTCCCTATTTCAACACAGAAATAAACGTAAAACTGAGCTTTGTTTAAACATTACGAATAAAACCGAGAAAAAACACATAAGTGCAAGAAAATTCTCGTTTTTAAAATATGCCTTAAAGAAATAACAATAATATTTACATATTTTAAAAGTAGAGAAAATATGCTTTAAGAATATACCATGCTTTCTTTATAAAGTTAAACAGGAAAAAATTGTCCATCGTCTGGAAAATCGGCAATCGCTTTGGAAAATTACGCCATTTTCAAAAAGTCACGTTTGTCTTTACAACGTAAAATCGATTAAATACCGACAATCAAGACATAATCTTTTTAGATATTTTAAAAGTAGAGAAAATTTCCAAAAAGATGATATATAGTTTATATACATTCATGCTACCATTAAATAAATACGGAGATCTTATTTTCGCGAAGTCGTGTTTTAACGCGCCACCGGTCAATTTTGGAGTAAACAGTGTGTGTTCTTAACTTGAATTTAGCTGAACAAATACCGTTTCATGATGTTGATGGGAAAGCTTTACGGTTTCTAGCGACAAATTGGATCTTCATTAATCGAAATATTAAGTCTGTATTCTTGTTTGGCGTAATATGTTTTAAAATAAAGTTTAAAAGGAATAAAAACAATAAATATTTCAGTTATTATTATGCATGCAGTGGCATCTAGCTGTGTCGCTGGTATTAAATATCAAATCATTTTTGGTACTAAGTAAAATTAGAAGGAAATTAAAATCGTCATTAAAATGAAAACTTACAATCAACCGCTAATTTGTATATACATTGCTGATTTTCTTCACAGATAATATTTCGAGTCTGGTTTAGATACGAGGGTGAAAACATTGTGAATTTAGACAACATCAGAGTTACAGAGGGATTGTGTAACGGTTTGTTTTTTATTTAATTTGTATTAAACCTTTCAGATCAATGAATTTTTACTTTGATTTAGCTTCATTTATTCTCATGAGGTTTATGTGTGTTAGGAGTTTTGTTGTTCGTTCATTTTTGGTATTCAGTTTCAAATCTTATTAGTTTATCTAAGAATGAAGTTCAAGGCGTTCAAATCATGGATTTAAAATTGTTCAATATTTTACATTTTCAGTAAGTTGTCCTCTGGACTTATTCCGTTGTACCAGTGGAGAGTGCATTTCACCGACCCTTGTGTGTGATTCTCAGCAAGATTGTGAGGATATGTCAGATGAAAGAACATGTAAATTCTTAAACTTGTTTCAAATTCATAATTTCTAATGAATTGATTTTCTTATAATTATTAACATAATCGAAAGTCTTTTAGAAAATGGTGTTAGCATTACGGTATTGATGCTTTTAATACAAAAATCCGAAATAGAATATTGATTTAATTTGGTGCTTTATCACTTAAGTAATTAAATTATGCAAGGCCAAAAATAGCTATGCATTGTAAAATAGGCCATTTTCTAATTTCCTCCTTTGTTGAAACTCAGAAAAAAAAATCTGTCAACATTCATAATATGGGGATTAAAGAAGTGATGTGCCTAAAGTAATGCAAATAACTTGAGAATATGCACTTTTTAAAAACGTTTTAAACTATCTTTAAACGTTTCAGGATGTTTGAATTCATCAACATTTGTCATGCTTTCGGATCACATTAAAAAAAAATTGTGCCTAAAAACAGAAATTTAAATAAAAAGTCGTACTAATGAAATATTTCTAATGATAAAATATATTTCTTATCATAAAATTTTAAAAGGCATATTGATAATATTCTGTCCTTACTTTTGCAATAATGCTTTTGTACAATAAATTTAATCTATAAGTTTTGTTTGATTTTTTTTTACAATTGTCATTGGGAAGCTTGCAAAACTACTAGACCTGTCTTGCTTCTGTCTTTCTACATGTGAAAGGAGTGCAGTGAAGACGATGAAAATTGAAAATGGCCTATTTTTGTAAATCAAAAGAATCTAAAGCAAATTGAATGTTTGCTATTATTTGTAGGTGATTATGTAGCAGTCAACAATCAATCAAGCGTTAATTCCTCGCAACAAGCCGTGTTTGATATTTCATCTCGTTGCCCTATTTGTCCCCGAGAGAACAACACATTTTGTATAGCTTTCTGTCCCTCGTCTTGTGACTGTTATGGAGATACCTATCTTTGTCAAAGATTTGCTACTTCCGCCTATACCTTTTTCGTCCAACTGTCTGAAGTGGATTGTGATTTCCTCAACATTACAGAATTAGGGCAGGGGATTTATCATCTCGATATTTCTTCATCCCACATTCGTTCATTGAATATCACTGATTATGTCAAAATAGAAAAACTCACAGTGACAGATTCCACTATTGAGACTATCCATATACCTGACCAAATAGTAAATTACGTACAATTTTCAAATTTAAAAACAAATTCAATATCTTTTTTCACCTATTTTATGTACCTGCACGTGGTTGGGAGTCTTCAACAGTTCAGTGCCTCGGCTTTGCTTCATCTACCCTACGTAAACCTTGAACGAAACATTTTGTCCAATGCTACTGTGATATACAAAATTTGGTCCAAGTATGCCTCATCCAAAAATTCTTCGCACAACAAAGCAATCCTCAATAATTGTAACATATATCAAACCAATACTGTGAAGGGTGTGGAAAGTAATTATTTAGATTTGAGTAATAATAAACTGAAGGCGTCTTATGTGTTCAGTGGAACAGAAATATTACTGATAAGAAACAACCTGTTGGAGGACGTAGTCAAATCACTTGAAAGGACTTATATTAAGACCCTGAAGACTCTCGATCTGTCATTCAACAGAATCACGCACCTGCAGCTGAATGACTTCAGTTTCTTTTTTAACCTGGTGTACTTAGATCTACAGTCTAACAACATTTCATGGATCGATGACGAAACGTTTGCGGAATTGAGCAGCTTATGTTTTCTAGATCTATCCAGTAACTTATTACAAAGTATAAAAAATACTTACTTTCAAAACTTAGAAAAGCTCCAATACCTTTATTTACAGAGAAACCTTATTACTACAGTAGATGTCGAATCTTTCTATTCCTTAAAAAGTCTGGTTATATTAGATTTGTCAAACAATAAGATCACCTCTCTCAAGGGGAAATATTTTCGAAACTTGGAAGAGTTGAGATATCTGTATCTTCAGAATAACAAGTTTCAGGTGTCGGAGGGTATGTTTGATGGCTTGTCTAGTCTCAGCTTAATGCAGGTGGATTTTTTCTCCCTTTGCTGTGCTAAGCCAAGAAATATATACGATATAAAATGCATAGCTCCTGCGAATGAGATATCATCTTGCAGCAATTTAATAGCTGTGCCCATTCTTAATGTCGGGATCTGGTACATTGCACTGTTTGCTTCTTTTGGAAATTTTGTGGTGTTTTGGTACAAGATTATCTATCTGAAGAGACAATCGGCCAGGGCCCACTTTATATTCACCATTAATTTAAACTGGGCTGACTTTGTTATGGGCATTTATCTCTTCATTATTGCCATTGCTAATTTAGTCTACAATGGGCGGTACGGTCTAGAGGACTACTCTTGGAGAAACAGCTATTTTTGCACCATTGCTGGAATACTTGCTACACTTTCTAGTGAAACTTCTGCATTTCTTGTATTTTTAATCACAATGGATCGACTTATCGCTATAAAATTTCCGTTTTCTGGGAGAGGGTTTAAAAGAAGTGGAGCAATTTTTCTGTCGGTTCTTTCTTGGCTTGTGTCCCTTTTTCTAGGAATATTGCCTATAATTCCTATGCAGTCTACGTTCTTTGACGGTTACTATGCTAGGTCTGGAATTTGCATTTCCTTACCACTCTCCGTGGTAAAGAAGTCAGGCTGGCAGTACTCTATGGCGGTATTCATTGGATTGAACTTCCTTCTCTTCACGGGAATTTTAATCGGACAAATTGCGATTTTCGTAGAGGTTATTAAAGTTGGAGGAAATGTAACTTCTTCAAGGTCGAAGCAAAGGGAGATAAGTCTGACGAAAAGCTTGGCTGCTATAGTTCTCACCGATATGTTCTGCTGGATCCCGATCGGAACAATAGGTGTGTATTTCCGGTAACTCAGCATAATGCAATTTTTCTTGAGAAGATAAATTCTGATTTAATTGAATATAAATATATTCCTGATTCACATAATGAAACTTTTTTTCTTCATCTTTTGTATTTTCCGTGAAATGCCATTATCTACAAATTATGTTTGCATTGCAAGATATGTAATAAATAACTTTTGAAGTAATATCCATATTTGTTTAACAGGTCTACTGACCTTTTTCGAAATCGATGTGTCCAGTGAAGTTTACGACTGGATTATTGTTATAGTGCTCCCCATCAACTCGGCACTCAATCCAATCATCTACAACTTTACAGCCTTCATGAGGCACAAGGTTAGCGATCCTTACAGATACATAGATAGAGAGAAAACTATATCTAAAGTTAAAAAAGGTTCATGTTTGTAAGTACACATAGAAAGATCTTCATTAATGA